TGGGGGGGAGTGGGTGGGGGGGGGGGAGGGGATGGAGAAGAAGATGAATAGTGTTTTTGTGTTTTGATTTAATTATTAATAGGGAAAATTGCAGCTGTAATTAGTTGTAAGCCCAGAAATGACATCAGATCGCAAAAGCTTAATATTATAATTAGTTGCCCACTGGAAAATTGGGAAGAAATACTGAAGTCCAAGAAGTAATTTTCTAAACCATGTTTGGTTCTTAAATTCGTGAAGTGGATCGTTGGGGAAAAATATTTCTGAGAGCCTCTACTGGAGTTTCTGAACAGTGGTTTTGTGCGGTGGCAAGCACACTTCATGGGTTTCCAACGGCAGCATTGCATCTCCAGAAATTGTTATGGTGGTTGTGGTGCCGCTGTTTCCGCCAGAAAAGTGCTCCACTCTGTTGGAATTCAAAACCATTGTTGCAGAAATGAACTAATGGGTGGGTGCCGATTTTTTGGTGGGATTTGGTTTTGTGAAGTGGGTGGGTAGGGGTGAATGGAGAAGAAGATGAATCGTGTTTTTGTATTTTGATTTAATTATTGATATATTGTAATTATTTTTTTGGTTGAAAAATGTAAAGTTACCATTTTATCCTTTTAAAGTTAGTCAAAATAATGGTCAATGTTAAATCTTTGGCCAACTAACGGTCAAATTAACAGTTTCCATCCATTTGGAATTTCACCGCGAGTTTTTGAAAGGTTTGGTTTCGTGTGTGGCACAAAATAAAGGTTTGGACAAAGTTTGCTAATAAACGAAATGTTTGGTACTTCGGCTGCAATTTTCCCTAGAAGATATACCATAAATAGAATATAGCACAATCACATATATGAATTCGTGAGTGTTGGTGTTATAAGAGTTGGTAATTATAAGAAAAACAACAATCTTAACTATATTTTTAATTATGTGTAATCCAATACAACACACTACCATAGTGAATAAGTAGTGAAATCTTAAAATTTTCAATTGATGAATAGCATAAGTTATTCCGATATAGATATTGTCAACTATATTACATATATATTGGGCTTCATTCATTTATATAAGTGGGATGGTCATATAAATTCAACTCACAGTTCTAAGTGCAACAGAAAAAAAAAAGTTATAGACATTACATAATTCATATGCTCTTGTTAGTTTAATTTCAATAGGTGATGTAAATATGTATAATTAAAATTTTTAGCAAATGGATTCTGGACAAAATGAAACTCGTGATATTTGACCAAATTCGCATTCAATATCAAACTGGCCTATAAATTGGTTTACAAAAATCGAAATAAAGTGAATTATTTGTGTTGCATTAGTTAGGATATGTTAGAAATTGATATAATTACATGTAATCTCTATAAAGGAAAAATATGAAACACAATTCTGATTAATCAAATTTCAGATTGCACAACAGTGAAGACCTTACTACAACCTCTGCGATTATGAGTAATCCCTATTGTAATGTTAATTGCTTAGTAATAATCATTTGTTGTTTGAATTTGAATCTCCATATATTTAGCATATGGAGTTAATATCACCATTTTCTTTCCTCTTGAAATTTTCAGTTATGGTTTCTAAAAAAATTCATATATAGTAGTAATATAGAAATTTTAGTGTAAAAATGAACTGGACTTTTGCTAGGCTAATTTCGACACAATTTCTAAACAAAAATACGTACACATTTTGGCTTTTAAATGTGCATATGCAGTCAACGCATTATCACGAGCATATCCCATATGTGAGACATTTCGAAAACGTCTTGAACATATGCGCTCATTTTAGAACACTAATAGCTGGTATAGTTTTTCTATCATTTGCACCAAAAAATGGCGGTTCAGGAGCTTAATGTCAAGAGAACAAAGGTTGGGCTAAAAGTGCAACAGCACACAATAGGTTGGGGATGCTGCAACTTAGCCTAAAACACTTAAGAACCCTTCATATTTGCATTGTTCCTCGACTAGAAATCTATGGGTAAAAGTATAGACTACAGAACAAGTTTACTTCAATGCAGCATTTGTTAACCTGAAGCAAATGGTAAATATTAATACTCATAAATAAATCCGCCATCCATAATTCAACTCCAATTGAAATGGTTAAAAAAAATGATCAAATGAAACAAAAGAGTTTTGCGAAATACCTCCAAACAATAATTCCCTAACAAGGGAGATACAATAGAAAAGAAAGGGGAAAAAAAGAGACAAAAAACATATACTCCAGCTCCGGTTCCTCGAGCTAAATCACTAAAACCACTAAAGTCCCGCCATAATGGAGTCCTGGAAATGAAATTGTAACGTTAATATGCCCAATGAACCTTATTTATTAATCTGTAACCACTTCGATTTCCACATGAAATCAACTTGAGGAAACATTGTCCAGCTGGTAAACCACGTACTCAAGCTTTAGGCTTGAGGATCTTGACGGTTTCCCAGGTGAAATCGGGATCATCACGGTCAAAATGACCATAAGCAGCTGTTTTTTGGTACCTTAAGTTGCCTCCTCTCAACAAATCAAGATTGATGGCGATCATTCCTGGCCTGAAGTCAAACTGCTCCTTAATAAGAACCAGTATGTCCTTATCGGGAATCTTACCTGTCTTGTAGGTATCAACAAACACTGAGAGTGGTTCAGCAACACCAATTGCATAAGAAACTTGCACAATGCACCGGCGAGCAAGTCCTGAAGCCACCACACTCTTCGCAGCCTGCCTAACAATATAAGCACCACTCCTATCTACCTTTGTAGGATCCTTACCGGAGAAAGCACCCCCACCATGAGCACCCCAACCACCATAGGTGTCGATGATAATTTTTCTACCAGTGAGTCCTGCATCTCCATGGGGTCCACCAATAACAAATCGACCAGATGGGTTGAGGTGGAAGATCGTGTTTTCATCAAGGTACTGAGCAGGGATGACGGGCTTGATTACATGCTCTTTCAAATCTGCAGCAATTTCTTCATTTGTTACGGTCTCATCATGTTGGGTTGAGATAAGAACGGTGTGTACTCTAATAGGAACCATTGCACCACCATCATTCCTGTACTCAACAGTAACTTGGGTCTTGCCATCAGGTCTCAGCCATGGGCAAGTCCTGTTCTTTCTTACTTCAGTGAGCTTGGCACCAAGCTTGGTGGCAAGGACATGAGTGAGGGGCATGAGCTCCGGTGTTTCATCAGTGGCATAGCCAAACATGTGACCTTGGTCACCAGCTCCGATTTCCTCAGGTTTCTTGGTCAGATGACCATGAACTCCCTGGGCAATGTCAGGACTCTGTTGCTCGATGTTTACGAGCACCTTGCAGTTGTCCGCATCAAGACCAACATCAGGTGATGTGAAGCCAATGCCCCTGCACGTATCTCGAACTATCTTCTCATAATTTACATTGGCCTTGGTTGTGATTTCTCCAAAGACCATGACCATATTAGTCTTTGTGCAGGTTTCACAAGCAACTTTGCTCTCTGAATCTTGTTCTAGGCAAGCATCAAGAATGGCATCTGAGACTTGGTCGCAAAGCTTGTCAGGATGGCCTTCATTGACAGACTCTGAGGTGAAAAGGAAGGTTTCCATGTCCATGTCCCCTCTGAAAATCATTCAGAGAACATGTAGATATATGTGTTAGACATTTGAAAATTCAAATAATAACAAACGTGTGAATTATTTCCATATTCAATGTGATGCTCCCCAAAATAGTAAATAATGCCACCCCTAATGATCTATACATCTCAATATAATGTCAAAATGATTTAACGTTTAGATTTAAGAGGCAAATTGTATACTTGTGGCTTTTAAGAACAACTGCAAATCATAATTGTATGTCGCCTATCTACAGTTTTACAACACCTAAAAATTTCATGGAAGAAATTGACATATCAATTGGTTTCTGAAACAAGGCATTTCAATATGTCGTTAGGTTCTTGCACTTCTATGTTGGAATTTACATCTTAGAAGTACATTTTGACGCACCACATTTTTCCTCTGTAACAAGAACAATATCCCACCTTGTAACATAATTAATGCTCCAGACTACGAATTTT